CATTTATGTATTTATTGTGTAAGCCTGTATGCATGCTCACATTTCATATACTGGTTTATTAAGATAATACTAAGTGGAAAGATAAACATTTAAAATGATAACCCCTTATTTTAATAGAATAAACATTTTTTAATGTTAACTCCTTATTTTAATAGAATAAACATTTTTTAAAAACCTACCATATGACCTAGCTAGAATACTCTTAAGTATGTACCCCGAAGGCTGCAAGTCAACATATCACACTAACTTGCACATTAATGTTTACTGTAGCACTGTTCACACCTAGGTGTTAAATGACAGTGGGATGGGTAAGGAAATTGTGCTAGAATTTTTTTCAGTCACAAAGAATGAGGTCATATCATTTGTAGGAAAATGGAAGCAACTGGAGATAATTGTGTTAAGTGAATTAAACTAGTCTCAGAAAGACAAGTATCATGTTTTCTCTGATACGTGGTTACTAATTTTTATATGGATATATAATATCATGTTCGTATATATGACATGAAAGGAGAAGGGGAAGGGATGGATATGGTTATGAGGCCAAGTATGCTTAACAAACTACATATAGCTGTATAAAAGGCAGTTGCAGATGGGCCTGGGGAGGTAACTCAGTGGGTAAAGGGCCCGCTGTGCAAGCATGACGATCTGTGTGTGAATCCCCAGTACCCAAGTAAAAAGCGGGGTAATAGCTGCATGAGCCTATAATCCCAGTGTTGTGGCAGGAAGTGGGATGGAGGGCAGAGACAGGAGAATCCGCAGGGCTTGTCACAGGAGGCAGTTCAGATAAGAACAACCATTACAGAATGCAGTTTAGCGTTTCCTCAAAGAATTGAAAATAGAGTTACCATATGCTTTATAAATTTCACTATTGGGTATCAATCCAGAGGAAATGAAATCCGTAGTTGGGGCCTCTGCTCTCCTACATTCACTGAAGCACTATTCACAAGAGCCAAGAGGTGGGAACAGTGTAAGCGCCCATCAGACGATGAACTGAAAAGAAAATGAAGCCCAACATAGTCCAATGCAAGAGTAGAAAATCATCCAGCATAAACAGGATGAAGATCTGTCTTGCAACAGCACAAATAGAACTGGAGATTATTATGTTAAATTGAATGATGCAAACATCAAAGACAAGCAACGCTTCACCTTATGTGTGGAATATTAAAATACCAACCATAAACTTCAGATTGGATGGAGTCTTACAAGTGTGTAGTTCGGCTTCCCTCCAGTGTTGTAAATCTCAGAATATTGCTTGTTCCTGTCATTGTGTATTTCCGAGGGTTAAAGCTATGAGCTCAGCCACAGTAACTTCGGCAGCCATCCCTTCAGAAGCTACCGCCGTCAGCTCAATGTCTACATGATGCTTCACGGAGTCATGTCTATCCTTTTCTCTGTCTTGTTTTGTTCCTTGGGTCATTCACAGAAATGGTTACATCAAATTTGATTTCACAACAAGAAATTCCTGGAACAGAACTTCAATAGGAAAAGTACTAGGTAGATTTTTAATTCAATCTCTATTTCACATAGATTGATACTTTTCAAGATTGTCAGAAATGGTCTGTCATCATCAAATAGTATCATTACTTCTGTGAGTGCTTTCTTCTATTATACTAAAAGCAAATTTGGGGGGCTGGAGAGATGACTCAATGGTTAAGAGCACTGGCTGCTCGTGCAGAGGACCTAGGTTCCATTCCCAATACCCACATGACAGCTAACAACCATCTGTAACTCCAGTTCCAGGGGTATTTGACACCCTCTTTTGAACTCCATGGGCACTGCATGACATGGGTGCACTTTACATGCAGGCAATATGCTCATACACATAAAATTTAAAAAATAAATAAAATTAACTTTTTGAGTTTTACCCATTGGTAGAAATTCTGAACTATATGAATGAAGCTACTTTTTTTTTTTGTCTTTTTGAGACAGGGTCTCCCTGTAGCCCCAGCTGTCCTGGAACTCACTATGTAGACAAGGCTGGCCTTGAACTCACAGAGATCCACCTACCTCTGCCTCCCAAGTGCTGGGATTAAAGGCAAGTACCACCATGCCCAGTGAAGCTACTTTTCATGATACCCTTTCATTGCTTAAAGAGAAGACTGCATCACAGGAACGCACTTTCTATTCCTTGTTGAACAGATTCTTCAAGAGGTTTGATATTCTGATTCATCATTTCCTATTCTGTACAGACATGCCAGTGTTACAGTGCATCTCATAAAGCACAAACCTCAGAACTAAAGCTGAGCATTTATCAGTGTTATTGTCAGTGTGTTTTCCCAGGTAAGGTTTTTATGGAATTCATTGTCAATCACATGTCAGTATCTTGTAGTAAATAAAGTGAAGATATACCTGCATTGATTTATGCTAAATTCCACCTACTTGCTTCTTTGGGCTTTAATTGTATTTCTCACATCTTTAGAACTGTTTTCTTGAACTAAAGCTGAGCATTTATCAGTGTTATTGTCAGTGTGTTTTCCCAGGTAAGGTTTTTATGGAATTCATTGTCAATCACATGTCAGTATCTTGTAGTAAATAAAGTGAAGATATACCTGCATTGATTTATGCTAAATTCCACCTACTTGCTTCTTTGGGCTGTAATTGTATTTCTCACATCTTTAGAACTGTTTTCTTTTGTTCTACTCTCCTTTCATAACCATTAAGGGTGTCATTGTTACGTTCAGAGAGGACATTGATAACTGTATTCTAATAAATGTTTAACTCCTGTAGGATAGTGACTTTACATTAAACTCCTGTAGGATAGTGACTTTATATCAAACAAGAACAAACAGAACTGCTTTATGACCTTATTCACTATTGTTCCTGAATATTCTCAGAAATCAAGATATATGATGTAGATTACATATGTATCACATATATATACTTATATGTTAACTAATAACAAGTATTTATACAATTTAGAGAAAATATGTTTAAAAGTTACCAGTGTGCAATGTATTCAATGTATCACTTGCTCATTTTAAACATAGAAACACTTCAAAATCTATCTCTTGTGTGTTTCTTTTGCTAATTTCCTTTATGTGAGGTGACTGAGGTAGGATGAGCATCAGGGTTTCAGTAAGTAGCCCAGGATGACCTCATCCAAATTCTCATCATTTGATCCCAGATGGGCTGAGAAAATGCTGAAACACTTCAGAGGAGGCCTAGGTTTAGAGCATGGGGTTCAGTGGATTGGCTAGAGCTGAATGTTGGGATTACAGGTGTGCAACCATGTCTGGCTTCCCATGATTTTTTTTCCACGTGTATGTGTGCAAATGTGTGTTCACATGTGTATGTATGTTGTTCATATGCATGCATGTATACATGCTCTTTTGGAGGCCCAAATTTGATAGCCAGTGTCTTTTTCAATCATTTTCTACTTTATTTTGAGGTAGGGTCTCTCAGTGAACCCAGAGCTCACCAATCTGCTAGTTTTAGCTGGCCTGCTTTCTTCAGAGATCCACTCTCTCAGTCCCCCAAGTGCTAGAATCACAAGCACCACAACATCTGCCTGGCTTTTATGCGGATTCTGTGGATACAAATTCTGATCCTCATGTTTGGGCACTATGTGCTCTATTCACTGAGCCATCTCCCTATCGCCCGGGCTCTTCTCAAAATTCTTTAAAGGGCAGTAACATTATATTTGAAACATCAAAATCTGTCCTGGAAATTTGGCCTGTCACTTATTTAGAGTTCTCTCATGTTCCAAAAATATTTGACAGAAGAATTAAGTTGGGACATGGAATGAAGTGGTTATTACAGTGTAATATATAACAAAATCAAATAGATAAGTCACTCAATGGATAAACATTTTCTTCAGCATTTTGTTGATTTCTCAAGGCCATGTGGTAGTACAAATTACAATCTGTGCTGCCTCAAGGGAACTAATAGGTAGCTAACAAGCTTTCTTCTTGCACAAGAAGCCTGCACTGAACAGGCAGTGGGCATCATTAAAGGATGTACTTTCTTAAATAATTTAAAATATGGGTGCATTAGAGGTTAGAGGGGGAGGGATTGTATGTGCAGAGGATAGATCACTTAAAAATGTCAAAAAGCAGCTTGATTCAGAGTTAAAATGTAGCTTTTTATTTTTGGTAGGTTAAATAGAATAAGATTTCAATTTAAGACAAATAGAAACTACAGAAATAAAAGACTTGAAGATTTGACTAAACTGTGGGAAAAATAGTTTTATATTTTAGTGTTGTTGGTGTTCAGATAGTTTTAAATCTTAATGTAGGCCTAATGACTGCGTGGTTATCTTTAAGAAGATGAGGCTATGGACAGCTTTACAAACTTCTGTTAGAGCTACAAATCTCCCCCCAAATTTTTGATGTGTATATGTGTATTCATCTGTGCATGAAAATGAATTATTTCTGGGGAAAAAATTCCCAAGCTTCTAGTTTAGACCAAGAGACGTCTAAGATTGCTCCCTAAGCATACAAACAGGCTGATATAAAACTTGAAACCATGAAGCTATGAAGGATATAAATATAGGAGGATCATAAAAGTACAGTTCTTGGAGCCAAGGAAGTGAATATATCCAAGAAACAAAACACAAATGTTTTTCTCTATCACTGATGTTTTATTTG